AGCACAAGATTTTCTTGACCACAGCCTGAGTAAAAATAATACTGTAGAGGAACAGGAACCAAGAGCGCTGCTTGCCTGCCTCCAGTGGGAAGGGATGCTGCTGTGGGTCCGAAGCATAGCTGTTGGTGGAAAAGCTTCACCAGCAAAGAATAACTACAAAAAGCTACAGCAGAGGATACCAATTCACGGCACTTCTAGGACAAAATGTGCTTCAAGGCCATACCAGAAAACCTGATTTAGCAGGAGCGTATGTGAGGGTGGAATTTGGCCTATATTCTGTACACCTTAAGTTTCTGTTCATAGGGGAGGGAAAGAAAGCCTCTTGAGTTAAAGCAGCAACCTGCAGAAAGTAGAACTAATTCTACAGCCTGCTGGACAGGAGGACCCCAGTCCCTTAGAAAACAATACAAGGGCAGTGTCACTAAAACTGTAGAACAAAAAGAGAAAATTGAGAAACTTAAGTCTTGAATATTGACCTATGAGAAGAAAGCGAGAGAGAGAGAGAGAGAGAGGGAGAGAGAGAAAGCCCACACAGAAACCCCCAAACCCAAACCCCAACCTTCTCTTGAATCAAAAAAAAAAAAAAAAAATCTTTGTCCCTTGTGAAACACTGACTTCACTGACACAGTGATTTTGTTTATAAACTCTGTTAAAAAGCAAGGGTGACATTTCTCTTGGTCATAAGATTAAAATGTTTCTTATTAGCCAATTAAATACTTGATTAGCTCTTCAGCTGTGATGTTAGCCAATATAAAATGCAGCAGCCACCCTCCTGGCCCATCAATGCAAACACATCCCTTTTCTAAGACGCGCCTTTATTTAGGCCCGTCAGTTTGCTGCTTCTTTGCAGTTAAAGAAGGTAAAGACCAATTTGGCACCCAAAGAAATGAGTTTTCCATGGCTAGTGACATCGGTTAAGCCAGTCACCCTAATTCCTGTAAGAGAAACTGCTGAGTGACTTTCACTCTCACTCCTGCAACAAGGGCTCAAAGCTCGAGCTGAAGGAAGAAACAGGACAGGCAAAGAGATGACTTCTCTTGTCAGAAATAAAGTGCTTAATGTGGAGAGCACGTAAGAACAGCTGTCCTGTCTGAACATCATGTGAAAAAGTGTTGCAGTGTTTTCAGCCTGCCTCCAGAGAGATGGTTTTCCATCACAGCAGATTCCATAAGGGAACTGTACATTACACTGGTAAAACATGGCAGCCCCATTTAACTCCAGACAAAGCTGCAGTTTTATCACTGCACCTTGTGTCAACTCTACCGAGGTGTTTCAGGTGGCAGCTGATGCATTTTCACACAAAGTAAGTACGTATGTTCGCATAAGGAGCTTTGCTTTAGTGTCCAAAATCCAACAGCAGACGTGAAAGTCAAATTTTGAGTCTTTTAAATGGGCAAGTAATCATAGGGAAAACATTTAAGTCAGCTCATTACTAGGACTTTTTGGAGTTGTGGTTTATGGAAAGGGCAAGAAAGCCTTTTAAAAAACGTGGTTCTTAGTTTAATTTACGTTTCTCTTCTAGTATTCACCCAATTTGTCCATCAGGGACTTGATCCAAGTTGTAGCAAAATCAAGTTTAGGACCATTCTTCTAAGTTTAAGGACAAACAGATGGGTTTAATTTTTTACCATTTCAATCCTCTGGAGACCTCTTCCCTCTATGCCTCACATTTTGAAAGTTACGTTGCCAAGCAGTGTCAGCCCCAACTTTAGTTGTCCTAAAACCACAGGACTTTGACAAAAGAAGCTTAATGAAAAAAGAAAAAATATATATATATCTCTCTCCAACACTGCTTCAAAACTTTATGAAAAACATGTAACTTAATACACAATTCTCAAAAATGTTGCTTTGCTGCTGCAGGGTCAGAAGCCAGGAGAAAGCACAACGTTACATAAAATCCTGAAAGAACACAGCTAATTGAACAAACCCACCCTCTTCCACAATGGTGCAGATTACTTCCCCCTTGATGGTCTTGAAATGAGTTTAACTCTACAGGTAACTATGTTCTTCACAACAAAAGGAATGAAAATGAAAGGAAAACGCTGTTGTGTACTAAACAGAAAACAAACAAAAAACCAGCACAAAGCATGTAAGGAAAGAATGGTTAATCTCATTTCTAAAAGGGTATTATAAACAAAGAATGGCGAGCAACAAAAATAAAATGTATTAAAAAAAGATACAAAAGTGCTTAATGGTGTTCTTTTAAATATTTACTTTGCTACTATTTGGAGAATAAATTGTTCCATTTAGTAGTGCTGGGCTCAAAGGACTGCTTTAATCCAGAGAGATTAATTATAGCCTTTGGAGCTATAAACACAATTTGGGAGGCGAAGCACAGAAGGGGAGACAAGGCACCTCTCGCACTGGCAATTAACAAGTTTACGCACTTTGGGGCTACACCATACAGGCTGTGCCCCTGCTACACCTGCACACTACAGGCAGAACAGTGCACAGGATGACCATCGACTGGGGAAGAACAGCCCCTGAGATGTCTAGGGAAGACACTGCCCTGCCCTACAGCATTGCCACAGGCAACTAAGATACTTCTCAGGTGTCCTTCACCGAAATACAAGTTCACCTGCACCTTTTGAAGACATGGTCTGATGTTGCTTTTACTACCTGTGCCAGAAACGACGAGTCGCTTTGCTGAGACAAGCAGCAATGCTCAGCAGGCACAGGACCCCAGCCACACTGCCTTTCAACCTCTCACGTGCTTTCATGCATCCCTCCCTCTGCTCATCGCCATGTCCTGCACCAGGAGACACAGGGACCAGCGACAGCGAGCAGGGCGAGGCTGGGAGCGATCTTACCTAGCGAGGGGTTGGCTGCTCCCTCCTCCGAGCTCTCCTCAGCCCCCTCCTCTCCAAGGCCAGAGGTGGCAGAGTCCTCTGGGGCAGACGCGGAGCCGGGGGTGCTGGGCCCACTGACGGACCCCGAGTCCCCTTCCTCGCTGCTGGAGCCGTAGCGGTCGGGCTGGGTGGCTGTCCCACCCTCGCCGCAGCTCCTCCGCTCCTTGCGGTGCACCCGGGAGTGCAGCACCATTTGGTGGTAGGTGCGGAAGATCTTCCCGCACTCAAAGCACTCGGTGGACTTGTTCTGGGCGGCCCGACGGCTCTGCCGTGAGACAGGGCGGTAGTCCAGGTCTCCCTGGGAGAGCGGGCAGCTCTCTCCCGGTGGGGCAGCACCTGTTTTCTCCAGGCGTCCACTGGTGCAGTTCTTCTTCTTGGGGTTGCTGGAAGAGCTGGGAGAGTCCTGGTCTCGTTTGCGCTTCTCCTGGTTGACAAGGATATACTCTCTCTTATCCCTGTCGTAAGTCACGTCTGCATCTGCCAGGGCTTCGTCCCATCCCACATACTTCACATACTCTGAGGGCTCCACTACTTTTCCTTTGGTGGCCAGCTGCCAAGCTTGGTAGCTACTGACCGGATCCAGCTCGGCTACTCTTTTCCCAGGCTGTCCTCTTGTAACTCTGTCCAGCCCTACAGATGGCCTCAGACTGAGACACTGCAAGAAAAACTGCTTCGTTACCGAGGAGCTTAGGCTACCGTCAGCTAAGCCCTCGGCTTTATCCCCGGCACTGCTCCGCTGCGCCCGGTAGTGAACAGTGTTATGCGCTTTCAGGCTTTCCATATTTGTAAACAGATTTCCACACTTGGTGCAAACTTCGTACAGAGACAGGCCCGTCACAATCGTCTCCTCCTGTATCACGTCATTGATAGTGGCTATGAGCTCCAAATCATTTTTTGGTTTGTTTTTGCTCCCTGTCTTGGGGCCATGCGACTTCATGTGGTTTTTGAGAAACCAGGGCTCTTTGAATCTCCTGCCACAAATGTGGCACCCGTGATCAAATGACCCCCTGTGCTTTTTCATGTGAGCTTTCAGGAACCAGGTTTGACTAAAGGCCTGACCACACACTTCACAAGGAAACTCGCCCGCGCTCAGCTCGCTCTTGCAGTTCTCGGTGTAGGCCTCCCCATTTGGGACCTGAGCTGTTATATGGTCCTTCTCTATGTGGTTTAACAGCGTCTCCTCCCTCAGGGTCATGTAGCTACACAACCTGCACTTGAAAGGTTTGTGGACCTGGTGCAGGTGCTGCTCCAGGTCCTTCTTCCGTTCAAATTTGTTTTTGCAGAAGGTGCACTGGTAAGAGTTCAGCTTGCCGTCCTCCTCGGCCCGCACCACTTCCATGACCTCCTTCTTGCTGCTTCTCAACAAGATCTTGCTGCTGTCTACCTGAGCGGTACCGTTCAAGATCTTGTTGCAGGCGGCCGTACTTTTCGTGGGGCTGGTGCACCCGCCGAGGCCCTCTGAAACGCCCATCTCGCCCAGCTGCGCCTCTCCCATCTCCGCCTCGTGCCCCTGACTTAAAGTGCCTGTTCTGTGACTACGGATGTGGATCTTCAGGTTGCCCTTTTGGGAAGCTCTGTGATCACAGTAAGGGCATTTGTAGGGCTTCTCACCCGTGTGCTTCCGCATGTGCTGCGACAAGGAGCTCTGGAAAGGGAAACTTTTACCGCAGATGCAGCAGCTGTGGCACATGGTCTTGTCAGCATCCACGTCATTCTTGCTGAGCTTGCCTGGGCTGGAGGATCTCCGTAACTCCATTTCTGCCTCTCTACTACGATCCATCTGTATTACTGCAACATCGGGTGAGCGGGGCAGGAGGACAAAAGCATGTCTGGCAGCAGAGGAGGACTGGACCACGTTTTCAATCATACGGTTCTGCAGAGGGATACTTTAGTGCCTCATTCTCGGGGTAACGTTTCTCCTTTCAGCTGCTTGAGAGGGTCCAAAGCACCGATTTATTTCCGTGTGCTCTGTAAACTGACAGCACAGATCATCTGAAACAAGAACAAAATAATCACACAAATGTACAGAAACTGTGTAAGTAAATTCTTAAATATATTTAAACGTATTCACATTTTTAACTCAATACCTTCGATCACTTGCCCCGCATTCAGATGCGTATTATAACACAGTTTATTGCACTGAAAAGCAACAGCTTCTCCTTTTGCTGATATTCTAGTCTTCAATGGCAAGCATCATTAATAAAAGAGTGAAGTCCAAAAAAGAAAACATTCATTTCCATACACTGACATCACAGTGTCTTTAGAGAAATGCAAACTTAAAAACCACTTTTTTTGTTTTAAAACCAGGCAAAAGTGTCTAAAAATACACCTTAAATGAGGAAAACATTTCTTGAGGGAGTTATTACACTTTAAACCTGTGGCTTTACCATCATGTGTAATTTCATGTAAAATACTTACTTGCCAAAGATAAAAGGCTTTCCTATAGACTTTAGCAAGTATCATATTCCTAAATCCTGCTGGCAACTGCATTACTTTGCATCTCAGACAGCTCTGCTGAGCTTGATGTGGCATGCACAGAGCAGGCGCAGAAGCTGAGGACACTCAGTACTTTGATCAGAGAGCAAACAAGAATGCAGAGCCTGACAAAGCAGTCAGGAAAACCAGAAGTTATTTCCGGGTGGACAACGGGAAAAAAAAAAAAAAAAAAAACAACCAAAAAACAAACCCTTGAAGGGT